TTTCAGATAACCATGTAAACAAAATGATCTCATGATTATAATAGCTTTATAAAAGAAAAAATATTTATAGCTCAAAACACTCACACACACATTCAGTCTCAAATACACTTGTCAAATCATGTTTGTTACCACTAGCCTGATAACTGGCCCCATCTCTTGTCATCACTAGCCTAATGATTGGCTCCATCTTTTGTTATTACTAACCTGATAACTGACCCTTATGTGCACATCCTTATACCGAGCACGCCGGTATACAATCTCGTTACCATTTAGACCTGGTAACTCAGTTCCCTTCTCATAAAACATGATTTCAACACACACACACACTAAAACTGTTGTTTTAATCCCATCGCACACAAAATTTCTCTTTCATCACCAAAACCATTTAAGAAATAATATAAAATCATCTTATAAGTTTTTGTAAATTCACATGTGTAACAATTCACAATTGCAAAAAATATTTAATTGCAACCCCAAATATCAGCATATATCATATATATATGAAAAATTTACACACACGCACCCACAAGTTTAATATAAAAAATCCTCTCAATAAAAGTAATAAACTACTCACCTTGATTTCCAAAATCTAATTCAAAGCACTCTTTTTCAACCTCAATGCAATCACCACCTAATCTAAAATAACATAAAACAATCAATCTCTTTTTCCTTACTTCGTTGTTTCGCGATTCTATATTTAATTTTTATACTTTCTACTCATTAATATATACTCAATATATATTTTACATATAAATATCCTTTCTAATATGAGGTAACAGCGTATGGAAGTATTCTGTACTGTTTAGGAAAAAGTTTCTAAAGTTTTAGGGTCAAATCATAATTTTTTAAAACTTTTGGGGGTCAAAGTATAATTTTTTTAAAAAAAGAAATCTCTGTTTTCGGACCTGCCGTAAATTTTTCAGAATTCTGTTCTTGCAACTTACCAAATAAAAAGGTACTTAAAATTAAGTTTAGAAGAATAAAGTAGTCAAAATAAAACTCCTTGAAATTAAAGGGAAACTTTCTGTATTTTTTGGGATTTGGTTTTCCTCTTCCAGCTGCTGAACCTGAACCATTATACTTCCTTTCCCTTTTTTTTTTTTTCTTTCCAACTCATTGATTGAACTCAATCAATTCCAAATAACTATAAACTTAAAGATCAACTTAATAAATTCAATAATCAATAAGGTACCATGAATAAGGCACCATGAGACCTATATATATATACACTGACATTATAAATCTTACACTCATTAATTGAATAAGAAAAAAAAATTCAAAAAAAAATTATTAATCTATACCCTTGGATGGATTCAAGTCGGTTTCTTTCTTTTTCCTCCTTCTCTCTCTCTCTCTCTCTTTATATATATATATATATAACCCTGCTTGCCTTTCTTTCTTCCTCCTTATTTTTTTTTCTCTTGTCCTATTTTAACTGCCTACATATATGCATATAGAAAATAAAAGAAACCCTAAATAAACTCTACAAGTCTCCAAAATTATTAAATACATTAACATCCCTTTTTAAAAAAAATATTACAAATTAATCTAAAAATTAATATTATATATATTTTAAATTTGAAATATTACAAATAAGGCGAAGATTTTAACTTTTACATGTTAAAATATTACATAAATCTTCAAATTTAAATTGGAGATGCTCTTACGTTTTTTTTCCTTTGGCAGAATGGTGTGGGCCGGTTGATGTGAGAGACGGAAGAGAGAGAATTTCCAATCACATGCGAGATGGCTAAGATGCCTTATCACTGGTCTCTTATCACTTGGTACCCTGCAATACTACAACATCACATCACTTAGATATAGACCATTTCGGTTCCCTAATCTTCTGTTTGGTAAAAAAAAAAAAAATTTGAATAATGGAAAAATAGAGAGAATAAATTTTGCATTCATAGAGGATAAAATTACTCTTTTTCTCTGTTTTTGTTTGGTACCGAGAATGAAAAGTTGGATAAATAAATTTGTTATTATTTAGTATTGAAAGACAAATGAAAGGAAAGAAAACCAACAGAAGTTAAATTTATCATAATACCCTTACAATGAAAATAACCATTGTACCATTTTTATATAAATATAATTTTTTTAATATATGAATCAATTCTATTAATCTTAAGAGATTCAAAATTCTTTTATTTTGTATAATTAATAAAATGGATCTATATCCAAAAATAATACAGTAACAAATACAACATTGAATTTATGTGATTCATATATTCATTTTTTAATAATAGAACATTTTTGTTAAAATACTAAACATTTAGTTGACTTTGCTTGATCAAATTTCTAGCTATAATTGTAGCAATATCTCTTGGTGATCGACAAAAAATGCTAAATTGGAAATGAAATACATCTAAAAATTAAAGGGCAAAAAAGTTAACTTAAAAAATTATTGCCTTGCCTTCACTTTTTTCCTCTACTTTCTGCCCAAATTTGGACTAAAAATATTTTGTGGGCCGAAGGATAGAAGTTTCCTCTCACTTTCCACTCCCTCATACTTTCATTTGGTACCAAACAATAAAAACCTTTTTTATCCCTTCCATTTTTGTTAAAATACTAAACATTTAGTTGACTTTGCTTGATCAAATTTCTAGCTATAATTGTAGTAATATCTCTTGGTGATCGACAAAAAATGTTTGAATTGGAAATGAAATACATCTAAAAATTAAAGGGCAAAAAAATTAACTTAAAAAATTATTGCCTTGCCTTCACTTTTTTCCTCTACTTTCTGCCCAAATTTGGACTAAAAATATTTTGTGGTTCGAAAGGATAGAAGTTTCCTCTCACTTTCCACTCCCTTATACTTTCCTTTGGTACCAAACAATAAAAACCTTTTTTATCCCTTCCATTTTTCCTCCCTCACTTTCCTTCCACCCATTTTTCCACCATATCAAATACACTTTTAGTCGGTGGCGTTCATTCAATCAAATCTTTTATAATAACCATGAAAGTTACAATATGATTTATTTTATGAGACCTTACTAGCCATTTTTTCTTTCACACACATACATTCTCCTTTTAGTTATATTTTTGTCCTTATCTTAAATTAAAACATAAATCAAACCAATTATTTACATCCCCTCTCCCTTTCAATCTCACTCTCTATCTTAATTTTACAAGTCGTGACAATAAATTAAGTCTTATCGTTTTATAATTTTAAATTTTTTTAATTATAAGGTAGTAATATTTTTTTATTGTAGAAGTGTTTTTGTTAATATTAAAATTTTAAATAAAATATTCTTAAATATATTTGTCATTAGTGACAAACACACATATAAAAAAAATTAGATTAAATTTAGATAAATGAACAATAATAAATGTCATAAAATTAGAAAGATTAGGTTAATAAGTCATGTGATCAATTGAAAAAATATGTGTATAAAACTTGAGTGTCAAGTAAGAGATGAGATTCTATTCAAAAAAAAAAAATTAAGAGATGAGAGAAGACAAACAGATATATAGATTTGTTTGTTAAATGGGTGTACTTAGTCCCGATGAAATATGTATATTTATAATTCATATGGATTGTACTATTGAATAGTTGAACGCAAATATTGTAGGTATGTAACTTTTATTTATTTTTGGTAATCAAATGTCAAAATTACCAAAAATAAATAAATAATGTGGCATCATGTTGTAACATTAAGCATATTTACTATGACACCACCTTGTAATGGTTCATGCAAGATTTTTGTCAAATTAAAATAAAATGCATAAAATTTGGATTAACACATATATTACTTTTAATTTTTGTATGTCATCTAGTTATTAATCCTTAATTCCACAGATTAAAACTCGACAATGAAGGACACGCAGAGACAACGATCTTGTGCATTCAAAAGTCTAAGTAAAGTAAAAGGCCTAAAATATTACAAAATCTTCAAAAAAAGTCTAAGGCCATGTTTGGATGGCGATAATATTGAGTGGGAATGGACATCTAATTACCAAGAAAAGCAATTCCTAGGTTTCAAAGGTCATCAGAATCTCATATCAAATGTTTGGTCAGCGTCAATAATCTTGTATGAGATTCAAAAAACCATTCCCAAGTTCGTGCCAATCTAGTATGGACTGACATTTAGGGTGCGTCTGGAAGACAGTAATCTTAATTGGGAATGAATATCTCATTCCTAATAATGAAATACTCGGGTTTCGGTTATCTTAGTAATATCATATTTAGTATTTAGTTATTGTCAATAATCTATTGTAGGAATTAAAGTCATTGACAAATTATTTTAGGAAATAACTTAATTTTAAAAATGAGATTAATTTTATAGAGAAGGTTCATTTTGAGATTTTTATTCATTCTATAGAATACTCAATAAGTAGAGATTACCACCATTGGTCATAGGTTTAAGATACCCACCATTACTGAGAATTGGATTGTGATAGAAATCTTATTTTTGAGTCAAACTACTAAATTACTGACTATCCAAACATGATAATTTAGAATTTAAAAATAAGAATCTCATTCTCAATCAAGATTATCGTCATCGTCATTTAAATAGAACCTAAAAGTAATAATTTCAAACCTCAAAAGTCGTAATTTCTCAAATTTCTTCCACTCTCTTTTCCTCCAGACTCACCGCCCCTCTTCAAGTTTTCTCTCCCTCCCACTCTCAAAAGCAGAAACTAAGAAGCCATGCATAAACAATTTTAGAAGTGAAGCTGCGCAGGGAAAATAATTTTGACAAACTTAATCCAGCAAACACCATTGTTTTACAAGCAACAATGCACTTTAGGCAATCCAGTACATAATATATATATCACAAATAGAACACTTTATACAAATGATTTATGAAAACAGTACATTACTACTCCAACCTCCTCAATGAACGATTTAGAGCCAGGTATTAACAAGACGTTCACCCAGGAGGCCAAGATTAATCAAATCCCAATAAACTTATTAACTTAAGCAAGCATCATTTCGCCGTCTTCCCTTTTCCCCATTTTAAACATCTGTCTGGAATCTCTCATCATACAACCTCTTAGCGGCCATACCTGTCAGGGTGAAAGAATAACCTAGGGAGGTAGAAACTGGGGTGCTTGATAGTAGCCAAACCACTCAAATTAGATGAGGCGTTTGCAACGTCACTACTAGTCACGTTCGTACAACCAGATAGATCCACATATTTGAGATTCGGACATCCCTCAGAAATTAAAGCAAGTCCTTTGCCTGTTAACTTTGAGAACCTAAGTTCAAGATTTAGCAGATGAGGCATGAATTTTCCAATTGCAGCAGCTTCTGAATCTCCATCTTGAGGATAGGCATTCAGATATTCATTTGGGACAATTCCTTCATGATACGAAGGATTCCACCAATTCATCAGGTTCCTTTTCAGAATTTTGAGGTTAGGGCAGTGCCTTCCAATCACAGCCAAAGATTCATGAGATATTCCATAGCAGTAGCTAATGTTAAGTTCCTCAAGCTTGGGGCATCCAGAAGCCATCTCATCCATGCATTCATCACTTACATTGGGGCAGCTCTTAATTGATAGGATTTGAAGGTTTGGGCACCTGTACAATCAGGTAGCCAAATACATTTTGATCATTAAATAGTAACCAACCATAGTAAAATTCTTATAGAAATCAGAAAAGGAAAAAAAAAATAAAAAAAAGATCAGAAGAGTCATCTTAATCTCAACGACTTCATCGATCTTATAACAATCAGATAGTACCCTTTCGAGTCAGCGGTTGGCCACCATGGCTTGATCTGGATTAGATCATGTCACTTGACAAATGTGGTTAGCCCTTAGGGGGTGTAGAAAGGAATTGAACTTGAAACCTCTGAATTCTCAAAGGTTAGCTCTTAGAAGGCAAAAAACAAAGTATTCATTTTCTAAATCAGAAATTACTTAACAGCCAACAAAATTTTACGCCTTAAGAGGAAAACAGGACAAAGCAAATTTTATCAATCAAGCCTAACAAAAACGTACTACAATCAACCGCAAAAAATCAAACATGAAAATGGCAATTGAACTTCAACAAGACTTTGTTGAGTTGAGTTGAGTTGTGGATCTGAAAAAAGCAATTAGAAAAATCTAATTCAATCATCCAAGACTAAATCTACCATACAATAAACAATTGAAAAACTCAAGCCTTGAATAACATAAAGAAAAGGATAACCCATTTTTCAATCATCCAAAAACTAACCCAAACCATACAACAATCAATCGCAAAGTCCACACCTTTAAAAGCAATCAAAACAAAATAAACACTTGACGTCCAAATCCTAATGACCTATTAATTACAAGAATTCAACCTTGGAAATGCATGTGAGAGCAAACCCCATCTCCAATAATCCAAAACCTAACTGTACCACAAAAGAGTAATTCAAAAAATTCAAATGTGAAAAAACTTCAAAAAAAAAAACCTATTAATCAAAAAATTCGACCAGCAAAATAGTAATAAAAACAAACTGTATTTTCAAAATCTTAAAAACAAACAAAATCAGACCCAAACCAACACAGCAAAAATTAGCCATAAATTCTAAAAGTAATCTCATACAAAACAATGATTTTAATTAGGAATCGATATCTCATTCCCACTAAGACCTCGGTTTCATTTATCTGGCCGGTGTTAATAATTTAGCAAGGGGACTAAATATCTTTTTTAATGTTATTTTAAAAATGCTACACAATTCAAATGAAACCCAAAAAGTACAACTTAAATGCATATCATCCCTTGGATTGGATTAGTGTTCTCTCAACACTCATCTAAAGGACAATATGCATGCAAGTTATAAGTTTTTAAATTTCATTTGAGTGGTCCGGCATTACTCTTCAGGAAGAGAGTCTGATTCAAGGAATGAAGTTAATTTAGGAAATAAACTTGATTTATGAATTTTATTCTTTTTTTAGAATTACCCAATCTAGGTAGATAACTAGATATGATATCCAACCTCATTGGGAATTCGATTACAATCTTATTCTCCGATAGGATTACCCTGCAGTTGACTATCAAAAAACTTAGATTAGGGGTTGCATTACGGAATAGTTGATTATCCAAATATGGTAATCTAAAAATTTAGAAATATAATTGTCATTCTCGATTATCATCATCCAAATGGAGCCCACCTTACTTGAACCAGTCAGAAGAAATTCAAACTTGAAAAATAAAATCATACCACAAGTTATTTTCGATTATTCAAAAGTAACCCAACCCATCAAAAATTCAGTAAAAATATCCCAGTGACCCAAAAATATCAAACAATTAATTAACAATCAAACCCTAATACTAGAAAATTTTAATATATACCTTTCAGCAACCAGAGAGAGAGAGCGATCAGAGCAATGCCTGACACGAAGTTCCACCATACACCCATCGCTCCAAACGACGACGGATCGCAACATAGCGTCGATTTTTTGCTCGAATTCCCAGGTCCACCAGGTGGGTGACTCAGCATCCGGGTCGAAGTAGGTTTCGAGGTCAAAGACCGAGTTAAGAACCGGGTCTTTGATGGCGTGAAGCCACGGTTTGCAGACCAACATGGCTGTTCGCCATCGGTCTTCGAGAGAGAGGCGTAACAGGATATTGATTAGGCACTCGTGAGTCAAATCGGCCCAGTTGGAGCTGAGAAACGAGTTCGACACGTTTCTTCCTCCTCCTTTGTCATCCATTTCACCGGCAAGTTTGAAATGTGCTTTGGTGCTCTGCTCTTTTTATGCACTTTTTTAATTTAACTCTCAGCTCATTTAATTAGGGGATAAGATCAAAAAAAACAGGTGGGAATGCAATTAAGGATCATGTGAATTACAATTCGGATCCTCTAAATCTTAGATTTTGTCAATTGGATTTCCTTAATCATAAATGTCAGATTTTATAATTTCATTACACCCTTTAATACTTTTGTCTACATCCCACCATAACCTAATTCTGGCCGACATACAAAGTGAATTTTGATCCAAATTATCCACACAAAAATCTTCTTTCGTAAGCTTAAAGAGGAGGTACGTTGCTAAATTTGTAAAAATTTTACGATGAATGATTGAAAATGACTGAAATTGATATAATTTGAGAATGAATATTCAAACCCATTCAATCATAATGCACCAATTTCTCATCATTCATCTTCTTAACCCACATATCTAGTTCAACTAGAATCAAATCACTTCAAGCAAAACACTTGGTGGATAATCATTAATGTGGCATCCCTTTGGGACGAGTGCAATTTTTTTGAGAGGAATTTATACTTCAAAAATACTCTAGCACTGATGTAAATGACTTATTTTTTATTTGATCAAAAAAGTAATTAATCGAAGTACACGTAAGTTGACCTAAATATTCTTAAACTAAAAAAAATGTAATAATCATTAATGTGGCAAGTTTAAAGTGTTTTTTACTTTAATGTTTCTCAAAATTTATTGTACTTGTGAATATACAAGCCTATATTGTTAAAATCCCAACAAAAATATATTTAGATTAAACTAAATTATCTTTTTAATCAATTACCTTCTATTATAAAAATAATTAAAAAAAAGTGTCATATTAGGAAGGAGAAGAAGCTGGATTTCAGAGGGTTCACCACGGCTTGCTTATTGTACCCCATTATCGAATTTGATAAGTAAATATCTTGACTTTCGATGGATTTTGATGATTGAAACTAAGGGTCGAGTAAGGATGGTAATTGTATTGTGTCATATCGTGTCGTGTTGTGTCGTGTTATGATAGATTCGGGTTTAAAATATTTTAACTCAAACACGACATGTAAGTCAAAAGAATCAAGCCATCCGGACATGAACACAACTTCTTGTTAAACACGACTAACTCGACATGACCCGTAATACAAGATTTACACATATCGTATCCGGGTAAATATGACCCAATCCGCCTAACATGACCCGCCCAACGCGACCCAACAATTCAACAAATATTCCATATTGAACATCACAACAACATTCATTATTTCAAAAGCCAGATTAGAAGCTTAACAATATTAATTATTTCAAAAGCTGGAGGCCAGATCAAAGCTTAACAATATTAATTATTTCAAAAGGCAGAAGCCAGATCAGAAGCTTAACAACATTAATTATTTCAGAAGCCATATCAGGACCTTAACAACATTAATTATTTCAAAAGCCAGCACTCAGATCAGAATCTTAACAAGATGTTGTTAACAATACTTTAAAAAATATAGATCTAGTGAAAAAAATGTTAATGAAATCTCTAAATATAGATCTAATGTTGTTAACAATACTTTAAGAATTGAGTTTTGGTTATGGAACTAAATTAGAGTTAGGGTTTTGTTTTGTAGATCTATGTTTCTATTTTGTTATGGATCTAAATTAGAGTTTTTGGTTAAAGTATGAATTACAATTGGGTGTGAGTCATGAGATCGTCAAAAGGCATGTGAGAGAGAGAGAAAAAAAAAACGATAAAGATAACTAAGTCAGTTCACAGTTGCATAGACAGTAACAATAAGTCAATAACATACACATAGAGAGAGGCAGAGTGAGAGTTCACAGTTGCATAGACAGTAACAATAAGTCAATAACATACACATAGAGAGAGACAGAGTGAGAGCTGACCTAAAGTCTGAAGGAGTGAGAAGGGTGAGTCTTTCACTTGGTTGCCCAGGAGGAAGAGAGAGACATAAAATTAGGACTGTTAATCGAGTCAAGTATGTCGAGTTCGTTTTTGTAAACGAAGTAAAAA